ACATTTTTTTTTCTTTTTTTCCTCATTAAAATTCACACTTGCTGCTATAATTACAACCTATGTAGGAGTTGAACCTACATCTATGTGCAATAGCACATTGCTCTACCATTTGAGCTAATAGGCTTTTGAAAACTTCTATGGAAAAACTTCTATGGCTAAACTTCTGTAACACTAACATTAGAAGTATCAACATAAACATAGACATCCTAGAATAGCAAAGAAAAGTGACAATAAGCTTTGACCATCATGCACCAGCAATTGCAGAGAATTGTACCCATTATACCTTTGATAAGACTTCATTACTGTTAAACGAATAAATTGATTGTAATTTCAAGATACTATAATATTTTCAAAAAGCATCACCAATCTACAAACAAATTGAGTTACATTATACTAACAAAGAAGGGAGTACACATAAATGGGTAGATATACCTTTCAGACATGCATTTCCATCATAAGATCTGCACAGGTCACTTTATGGTAAACAATTCATATAATGTTGCACATTAGACATGACAACAAAGCTCCCTAGGAACAGAACTTACTAGTTCTTATACAATCCAATCAGGGGCATATAGTGCGAGTTTCTTGAACTTTCGTTCTAGCAAGGTAACTCCATCTACATAGCACAATTAAGAGACAAAAAACACCAAATCAAACCCTAGCTTCATCAAAATAAACTGAAACTCATAAGCATAACACTTATATTGATATTCATATTCACCTTACCAAAAAGCTACAAGAAAAAATGAGTTATCTTAAGTATGCAGTAGTAACAAAGGGTAATGTTATTTTGATTAAGCATAAAATATTTTCATTAATCAATTTCAATGTATTCTAATCCCGAGACATCAAGATACTATATTTTCATCCTTTATATCTTCTGTTTCCCAGCATATTACGAAAATAGAATTTGAAAAGTTATCCTTGTCTATGTATCTTGTGTAGACCACGTAAGTGACAGAACACATCATTTAATAATTAAATCTTTAACTTTGGGCTAATAACCACTATCATCCTATAATTTAAAAACTAATTATAGTTTGAACAAAATAATAGAACTAAAATTGAAAACTAATTACCATGTATGTACTAAAGACCCTAATGAGTAACGTATAAAGAAATGACAAAAGTAGTACTTCACCTTTCATTACGCTAGAACCAACAAAAGAAAAATAACCTTTGAAAGTAATAAACTGATTATAAAAATATGATGAAACAACATCAAGAAAACCAACAGTGAAATCAATGTAATAATTTCTTTCAAGAAAGAGCATAAAATTAAAATAAGAGATATACAAAGTATATTGCATCAGGCAAATCAAGTTTCCCATCCTGCCTGAAGGTTGAATTAACTCTTTCCACATCCCACATCTTAAAACTAATCCCTTTCCATGGTATGATGAGAGCTGGATATCACCGGTCAATATTCAACAAAAATTTTCCTTTCAAAAACTCTAAACATAAAAGCATTACCCATAGAAACTAGATGAGGTAGAGAAAATAGGCGAAATGGCACATGACTTGAAGAAGCCGAAGGCCAGCCATAGATATCATCACATTACAATTATATGGCCACATTAACATCTAAATATAGTCTTTCAGAAACTAATACAAGCTACCATAATGCAAGCAATTAACAAGAAGGATTCATACTCTGACACAATACCAAGAAAAAAAATCCAAAAACAAGCAATACACAAAGATGGGGGGAAATGTATACCTTACAAACTAGCCACCAAATCAATTACTCAGCTGCAAGATCTACCACGGTATATCTACCTCAACTGCTACACATAGAAAGCCAATTGCCACACCAACGGCTGCAACTCATACTCAAGTACCCTAAATTTTGACTTAAATCACAACAACAATAAAAAATTCATAAATTTATATTCATCATACACACCATTAACAAAACCAAAATTCAAAAATCAAACAAACCCATCATTCAATAAACATTGAATGAAAATTAAATCAAGTGGTTTTTAACAAATAAAGGACCTTAAATTTAGCAATTAATGAAAAATTAAGAAAAAAAATTATAATCTGTATAGAACAACGAAAAACAAAGCATTGAGAATAAACCCACTAATTTATTATCTTACAATTAAGCATTAAAATACAATAATAAAACTCCTTTCTACATTTATAGTTGAACATCAGACACCTAATTATCTAGTATTAGAGAAAAATCCAACTTACTAGAATTCATCCATGATGTTACAAATATTCTAATCTTAATCTATTTAATAAAACCCAACTTACTAATAAGCCATTTTAATACAATTATCAGACAACAATTGAGGTAAACCTATCATATATGTGATTAAGTCGGTAATTACAAGCAATTAAACAAAACTAACAAATCAATTGTTTTTTTTAAATAACCAGACCAACTAATTCACTAATCTAACATAAGTAAATGAATCAAAAGCTTAATATACCTTAACTGGGATGTTGCCTTCCGAGAATCACAAACGGCTAGGCTGCTACCATCCGACTCCGTCAACAACTCAACAAGGACAGACGGGAAGTCAAGAACTTGACTTACACCACCGACTGGACAAGAAGCCGAGAATACCACCCACATTTACAAAATGACATTGGAGCCGTTGAATGAGCTCGATTTAGAAGAGAGAGTAATTTAGGGCGTTGAGGTTAGAGTTTGCTATTAGAACGAGGAAACGCATGGATGGGTAAAGGGAATTGGGGATCTAAAAAAACCTAGAAATTAACAAATTAAACTAATACCATAAAAGGGAAAATCACAAAGAGAGAAACTGAAGATGAATTAAAGAGAGAAAACAATGAAGTTGAGGGATCAAAGATGAGATATTGATCGGCGGATATCTGAAAACGGAGATAAGTAGTTTCATTGGCGGATCCAAGATTTCCGAGATAGTGTGTCACCATCAATTATGGATCATTTGTAAAAGTACAATTTTTTTTCCATGTCTCGTTCATAATTAATTTCAATCCAAAAATTATATATATATATATATATATATATATATATATATATATATATATATATATATATTTCACCAAATTGATTTCAATCCAAAAATAGGACACAAAAATTCATACCACAACCTAATACAATACTTAAGAATTCAATTTTACAAGTCGAAAATACTACCAATAACATGTTATAAACAAATGGTACAATAAAATTATTATATTGAATTAACTTTATGATTTTTTAGTTAATTGATAAGCTTTATGGGGAAATATTAAAATTGGTTGTACAAGTATAAGATATAAAAAGGGAAAAAAAATTATTAAAAAATTATATAAAAAAAAGTGAGATAACTTAAGAGACCAGTTATTAAATATATATATATAACTGCGAAAAAAAATTGCGAAATGCAATAGCAGCATCAAAGAGACCTCTTATATAAATAACAGGTCTCTTTAATATTTAAAAAAAACCACAGCAAGTCTTTTGTAGCAATAGCAGCATTAAAGAGATCGCCTATCTTAATAAGAGGTCTCTTTGATATTGTTTGTTGTTACCAATAGCAGCATCAAAGAGCCCACCTATCTATAATAAGGGGTCTCTTTGATATTTTATTTTTTAAAAAAATACTGTGTCACCGGACCCACTATGACTAAAGGTGGGTCCGTCCCTGAGTAGTTTTATTCATGGTCGGTGAGAGGCGATGAAGGAATGAATGAGGGAGGCGAGGAAAGGAAAGAACAAAAAAAAAAGACTAAGGGAATGAGGATTCTAGGGTTTTTGTTTTAAGCTGCTTTAGTTTGTTTTTAAATTTGGCAAAGGTATCGCCTATGATAGTGGAGGATTAGAGGCGACTTGTAAAGTAATACTTTATGAGTCACACATAAAGAAAGATGGGACGTGTATAGTTTACGTGTCGTCTATTATAACGTAGGTGATGTTTATGCCTGTCAATTTATTTTTATGTGTCTTTTATCAGGCTTTATGTGTCACATGCTTTGTAAGAGGCGACTCTAAAACTATACGCATCACCTATTAATTTGAGGCGACTCCAAAAGGGCGACTTCATAAGGTGTTTTTGTAGTAGTGTCAATCAATTTACAAGAAATTAGTGGGGAGCCGAGATACAATTTGGGCCCCACCCCTCTAGCTATAGCGAACCCGATCCTGTTGAAGATGTGAGCAGCTGCATGAGCACCAATATACTGAGTCTTAGAGAAATCCTGAACCCGCTTCAGCAACGCAATAGTATCCTTCTCTAATTCCCCCAAAGATGAAAAGGATAAAGGAAGAAAACCATAGCCAATAGCCTTGCAACGCGCCCCATACTTGTCCCGCTTCCGTTGAGCCACCACCGACACAACACGACCAGGAACGAAGTCAGACAACCTCGATTGTGTTAAAGGTAAAGACCCCGTCAAGTCAGCACATACATCAAGGCTTCAATCCCATGAATAAAACAACACATATGCTGGTCGAAGAGCCCCGTCGTTCCCTCCAGTTAACCCAACATTAACCTACTTTCTTGCAGGAATCCTAGACCGAAAACAAATATCAACAAGGGTGTCACGAACAACGTTGTGTCGATGTTTAATACCCATCATCCCTGCATAAGACACTGCATGATCCTCATAAATATCCCCATCAAAAACCCTTGAGTAAGTAGAACACGGTGTCGAAACGGAGAATAAAGGAACACCCAACCAGTAGCAAAGAACACAACGGTAAGTCTTACCATTCATAATCTGACCTAAACCTGATATTGGGACTGCTCGCAACCAATCAGAAGTGTGATCCCCTTGTTGGGACTTCCATAAGGAAGCTTGGTGTGGAGATAAAGAGAAAGTGGATTCCGCAGATGCAATGACTTTCGTGAAATATACGAACAAAAATACGTCAACTAATACATTTTCACATTAATATAAAAAATTAGTAAATTACGAAATACATGAATTAAAACACATAAATTAAAGATATGAAATACACGGATGAAAATAAGCAACGAAAATAACATACATAATTTTAAATTATTAAAATGCTAATTTTCAACTGAGCTCGTTGACCTTGCCCATAAATGCTCACTCAAGTCGTTCTTTAATGCCTCATGAACTTGTCTATCGCGAATCTCCCCTCTTGAAGCTATCAATCTACTAAAATTATCAGGATCATACTGCCCGGGAGTTATGGTAAATGTTGTTGCATTTCTGGTTAAGGACAACCCTGACATATTTTCAGGCTGTTGTTCGGCGAATTCAAGTGGTTCTTTATAGTTTAAATATGTATCACGCTCGTCTTCAACTATCATGTTGTGGATGATGATGCAAGTCATCATGATTTTCCACATCAACTCTACACTCCATGCTAAAGCAGGCTTCCTAATTATTGCAAACCGAGCTTGTAACACACCAAATACACGCTCAACATCCTTTCTAGCACTCTCTTGACGTGTAGTGAACAATTTATCCTTTAAGGTTTGTGGGGCTGCAATAGAGTCTATGAATGTCGACCATTTTAGATAAATCCCATCTGTCAAATAATATCCTTTTTTGTAATTATTTCCGTTAACAGTGAACAGAACTTGTGGAGCACGATTATTAATTATCATCAAACACCGGAGAACGTTGAAGTACATTAATGTCGTTGCAGGATCCAGGTATCCCAAAGAAGGCGTGCCAAATCCATAAATCCCTAGAAGCAATCGCTTCTAAAATAACAGTCACCGTTTTAGATCTTCCTTGATATATACATTCATTTCCATCCAATTGGACAATTTTTCCATAACCAATGCATGCAATCAATGCTTCCCTACATGCCAGGGAAACCTTTATCCTCCTCTTCTCTAAGGAAGCGTTGGATATCTTCCAATGTTGGGTTGCGAAGGTACTCAGTTGCAAATTGAGCAATTACTCCGTAGACAAACTGTGCAAGAAATTCTCTAGCAGTGCTTTCATCGAGCTTTAGATACGCTGTTGTGCATTTCTGAAAGGGTGAAGCACACACCATGACGCATGGTAGCATGTGGGTGTTCTTGGAAGTAACGATTAGTTGCACTTAATGTGTTAACAATGCAAAGGAAAAGGGGTCTTCGCATACGAAACCTCCTTCGAAATGTGGTTTCAACGTATACAGGTTGGTCACTAAAGTAATCTGAAACTAAATTGTCGTGAGCAGCTTCACGATTTCTCGGCACAGTTATTCTTCGTTTTCTTTGACGTTTTTGTTCATTTTGTTGCACTAAATTTTTTACAGCTACAAGTTTGTATTACTTGTAATTGATGACTCTTGTTGATAAAATTCATGACCATTTGATCATACATTTCATCAGTTGAACTTGAAGACGAAGAAGAAGAACTTGAAGAGTTTGAATCGAAATTCATATTGTGTTTATTTCCAAACAATATTTGAAATAGAAGGTTTTGGGTTTTTTTTTTAAAAAAAAATGCTAAAGGGAATATAAGGTTGATAGATGTAATGTTATTGGGAGTAATATGATGAATTTTATAGATAAAAATAGAATAAGGTTAGTCAGAAGATAAGATTTCTAATAAGGATATGTGGTCATAAAACAAAGGATGTCAGAAGATAAGAATTTGGTTAGATGAAATGTCATGAGAGCAATCTGATAAATTATCTAGACAAAAAAACGATAAGGATAGTCAGAAGATAAAATTTCAAATAATGATATGTGGTCATAAAACAAAGGATGTCAGAAGATAAGATTTTGGTTAGATGAAATATCATGGAAGCACTCTGATAATTTATCTAGACAAAAAAGATAAGGTTAGTCAGAAGATAAGAGTTCAGATAATGATATGTGGTCATAAAACAAAGGATGCCAGTAGATAAGATTTTTGTTAGATTAAATGTCATGAGTAGCAATCTTATACATTATCACAATAACATAAAGTAACATTAACAGACTTGAAATCAATTTAGTAAAAATAAAGTTCATATTAATACATATAAATTACATTCATATTAAAATGGTACATTGAAAATAATTCTACAAAGTTACAATAATAATAAAACATACAACTCATAATCGTAATAACAAATCATGATTACTTGGTACAATCAGGTAAATTAAATCAAATCGAAATTCTACTACTGAATTCATCTCTAAGTTTCTTATACATTTCTAATTCAACTTCATCAAGAACGGGCTTCTACATTAACCTTTCTAACATTCTAATCTTCATGGCCTCGTTCTTTTGCCTTTTCTTTTCTTCAACTTGTGCTTTTTTAAGTTCATCTATTTTCTTCAACTGATCCAGAAGTCGCCCACCCAAATCATTCAACTTATAACTTCGTTAAAATTTGTGTTTAACGCTTCAAGATTTATACTTGAAGATGAAGTAGTAGATGCTTTACCTTTCATCTTTGTTTGTTTTATGCCAGTAGGTCTTTTACCTCTTCCTCCACATTGGATGGTGAATCAGGTCGTGATCTTTTACCGCTTCCTCCACTTTCGGTTGACGTAAGTTGGCCACCGGGTAACATATTCAATTGATCTTTGGCCAAAGATGGATCCCATTTCAGATATTTTTCTCAATTTCTCAAAACAGTGCAATAAACAAAACATCTAGTTGTTAGTTGCGTAATAATTTTTGTGAGCAAGTTTCTCCAAATTTTGCGCGAACTCACCACTACCCTTGGTTCGATAATGATACCCATATGCATCTACCCATTTACTACAATGTAAATTGATATGATCCCATCGATTTTGCATAGATTTAATGTTTCTTACCTTTATTTCATCGGGGTTTTCAATTCTAAAACGTTCTTAACGGTTATAGATGTAAACCCATAACCCACTTATCTTTGTATTGGTTCCTCTCACTACGTCGCTCCTGCATTTATGTAGGCTGATTCAAGTGTTTTTTTCTTCAGCTATGCTCCATGATTGGTTTTTCCTTTGCCCGATGGTATTGACATTTTGTTAGGGAACAATTTCGACATCAACATTGTTAATGTCTTCTAGATGTTGCGCCCCCACTAATTGTTCCACATGTTCATCACCACTCTCCTCTATTGGAGTAGCATTGCTACCACAAAAACCTCCCAATGATTGATCCATGTTCTGAGTGAAATGTTTAAAAAAGGGAAAACCCGGCATATTACCAAGAGATTGTTGAGATGAAGAGCTACTTTGAGGAAAAGGGAAAAAAGGTTGACATTGTGGAATATTATTGACATTTATTGGTCTTGATTGACTATTAAGCCATTGCAAAGCAGCTTGAAAATGAGGATTACTCAATAAATTTGGGTCTAAAGGAGGATTATTTTGATTATATTGATAGTTTGGATTATTTGGAAAATTCATATTATTCCCGTAATTTGAATTATTACGATCCATATTGAAAGGTATTTGAAATGAAGAAAAAAAATTTTGTTTTGAGTGATATTTGATGTTTTCGACAAGAGATGAGATTAATGTGGAAAAATGCAAAAAATGAAAGTGTATGAAAATATGAAAAAATTATACTCATATTATAGAGAAATTTTTTTTATGACTGTTGGTACTTTTGGTTTTATGAAATAAGTTACCGTTAACAAATTATAGCCGTTTTAGAGATTTAAGTCACAAAAATTATGTGACCTCTAAAGTTGTGACAAGTGTCAAGTTGTGACAAGTTACCGTTGGTGTTTTTGGTTGTTGCTTTGGCAATTTATGGCAAACATGCACTTTTTTTTTCTTTTTCTTTTGTTTTCTTGTTTACTTTTTGGTTCGTGGGCCGAGGTTTGTTTTTGGAAAGGGTGGTTTCCTAATGATGACATGATCCTTTTAGCAAACTCAACATTCATGAGTAAGCTAAAAATATAATAAAAGGAGAAGTAAAAGGATAGATATCCTCTTGAATGCTGGTGCTCTTATAATGTAGGGTTATTTAGGGTAGGTTTCGGTTTTATAAAAATTGTGGACTTGAATAATAGAATGGGTAACCCAAATGTAATTTATAGAATGATTGGGTTTATTATGAATATGGACTATATTCGGATTGAATACTTATTAACCCAAAAATTAAACCTTGTATAATTTAAATCCCATAATGAAATAGTTTGACCCAAAATATATATCATAAATAAATAAAAAATCTATTAAATGCATTAAAAATACGGGGTATTACAGTAATGGTTTGAAATTCTGTTTGGTACTAAATGGGGTGATACACAAAAACGACCCAATCAAATAGCGAGTTAAGTTAGTGTTATCTGTTTAATAAACATGTTGTGTTCGGTGATTCTAACTCGTTTATTACATGGACCGTGTTAGTATTTAATGGTTTTCAATCCATTAATATGTGACATGAAAACGAACATAAGATGACACAACTTGTTTGCCAGCTCTATGGACATGTTCTTTTCAGCTTAATTTCAGTTCAGTTCAGCTCAATTCAATTCAGCTATATTCAGTTCAGTTCAGTTCAGTTCAATTCAGTTCAGTTCAGTGAATCAGAACATGCCCTATTATTATACGGAGTATGATACTTCATATATATATAAATGTGAGATTTGAGAGTAACATTGGAACTCCAATAAAATATTGGAGTACGTTCCGTATAATACACAAAAGATACCATTGCATTTTAAAAAAATTTACGTAAAAAAAAAGGAAAAATTGTTAATAACCACCTCTCAAATCACCTAAAATTGATTTAACCACCCTTTTTTTTTGTTTATTTAAAATAAGGAAATTTTCATTTTTACCACCTTCAAATAATGACTTTGTCGAATTTACCACCTCCAAAAAAAAAACATTTACTTTACCACCTCATAAAAAAATTAAACATCAGTTTTACCACCTCATCTGAGCTCAGGTGACGGAAAACGCTTGTGGGGCCCAGCTAACTGTCACTTCCCTCCAATTTAATTCTTTTAAAATCGATTTCCCTCTGTCTCCTCCTTTTCTCACCTTCCATAATCAATGTCTCGCCAAATTTCTCACTTCCTCATCAATTTTCGTCTCTCTCTCCTTTGATTTTTCTTGATTCTCACTGTAACTGCTTCTCTCTCCTTTGATTTTTCTCTTTCTCTCTGTAAAAACTGAAACCCTAGATCAATTTGGGTGGTTGAAATCGAGCAAGAACCACAAAATTGCAACACATCAGCTTCTCTTGTCATCTTCCACAGGGTGAGGGGACCAAAAACTTGGTAATTTGCTGACAGAAATCGAGATTCCTGACTACAAGAGGTACTTTAAACCCTTTATTAGTACATTTCGTTGGATTTATGGTTGTCAATTGGGGTAAAGTATGCCTTTTTTGGGAATCTGTGAATTAAAGTATTATAAACCCTAATTATGCGAATCTTTGACTGAATTAGAGTGTGCATTTGTTAAATAATTAGTTAATTAGATTTACTTGTTTACTGTTAATTTAGTGCATAGTCAATGTGAATTGCTTTTACTTGCTGTAATTGGTGAATTGGTTGTTGTTGTTTACTGTAATTACTGAAATTGGTTATTGTTGTGTGTGCTTTTGTTGGTGTTGTTACAGAATGGACACAGTGGACTTAAAAATTACAGTAGGGGGTGCCTTTATACCTTCTTTAGCTGGTAAAAATAGGAGGGTGTTAACTTGGGATGGTGGGTGGGTTTATTGGATGAGAAAAGTGGAAAAAAATAAGATAGATGTACACTTTTTGAGGCAAGCAGCTATACATGGGTTTGTGTATGTGAATGTGAAGGTTCCTAGGGGGTTTAGTTGCTGGTATAAACAAAAGGGCAAGTCTTGGGTGAATGGTAAAAGGGAGCTTGTTGATGGTGAGGTGAATGGTTTCCTAGAGTCTGTGAACAAAGAGGGGGCATGTGAGATGTATGTTACCAGTCATGAGCCAATTGAAGGGACTAACAAAACACCCTTCAAATGTATAGCTGGGAATGAGCTAACCCCTGCACAAAGGAAGGAACTGAAAAAGAGGTTTGGTGGGCCTAAAGTATATAAACCCAGCCCAGAACTTAGTAAGCCCACTGAAGAAGAGCCATTTAGGAGAAGCCCTAGGTTAAAAGGCATTGTTATACATGACAGAGAGGCTGAGGAGAGGCTTCCTAGGGCAGAGAAAGTGAATGCTAATACACATAAAGGGAAGGGTAAACTCACTGCTGCAGATAAGGGTAAGGCTAAGGTTGGGGATGAGACTGGAAATCATGCTAATTTAGTGAGAAAAATAAAAGAAAGAGTGAGGAGCTTAAGGGATGACAGTGATGTGTTTACTGATGAGGATGGTGATACAAAGTCTTCTGATTCTGAGTTGAGTGATTTTGAGTTAGAAGTTGATGAGGGAGAGGAGGACTTATACTCTGATGATGATGAAGAGTGGTTGAAGAAAAATTTAGACCATATTAACAGTGAGGTGAAAGGCAGTTTGAGGGGAGTTACTGAAGGAGGGGATCAAAGTGATGATGAGGACACAGGGTTTGACATAGAAAGAAATCTACAGAAAATTGAAGTGAGGGTTGAAGAGGAGGCAGCTTGTGATTCTGATGAGCTAAAGAGTGTGGAAGGTGATTCAGATGATGATCAGGGTAGTGTTACTTGGTTTAACCCTGAGACAGACTTTGAAAGGGCTATCAAATTTGTAGTTGGTCAAAGGTTCAGTGATGTGCAAACAATGAGAAAAGCTTTGAGACAACATGCAATTGAAAATAGGTATGAGTATTACCTTCTTCACAATGATTCAAAGAGGCTAACAGCATATTGCAAAAGGAAATGCAAGTGTGTGTATAACAAGAACAGTTGTAGGATAGTGAAGTGTACATGTAGTAAGGGTGTTAGGTGTAGGTTCAAGTTCTATGCAACAAGGCTTGTGAAATCAGAGGCTTAGCAAATTAAGACACTAAGGCTGAAGCATAGGTGTGTTAGGAGTAAAATGAACAACAAGGTGACATCAGAGTTCCTTGCTGACAGGTACTTGGAGGAGTTCAGGGGCAACCCCAGATGGAAGATTAAACAGATTCAGGACAGGGCCTTGAATGACTTGGGGATCAAAATTACATACTCCAAGGCTTGGTTGGCTAGAAGCAGGGCAAAGCTTATAATATATGGCTCTTCATCAGAGCAATACTCAAAGGTTTGGGACTATGGGAAGGCACTGCTGAAATGGAACCCAGAGAGTGAGTGTAATGTGGTGGTGGATGATATTAGTCAAATTGAAAGACCAATTTTTATGAGGATGTTTGTGTGCTTAGCTGCACTTAGGGATGGATTCATTTCTGGTTGCAGACCAGTAATTGGGGTGGATGGGTGCCATCTAAAAGGGGCATACCCTGGGCAGATCTTGGTTGCAGTTGGAAAAGATGGCAATAATGCCATCTTCCCAATTGCTTGGGCAACTGCAGAGATTGAGAACAAGGACAGCTGGTGCTGGTTTCTGGAGAGCTTGCTCAAGGCACTTTGTGTGTATGACCAAGGAGATGGCTTGACTTTTATGTCTGACAGACAGAAAGTAAGTGGGTTGTGTTTGTGTTTAAATTACTTTGCTTTATTTGACTTTTCTGTACACTAACTTGTTAGTTTTGCCTTGTGTGTAGGGTCTCATAGAAGCATTTGCAGATGTGGCCCCCAAAGCTGAGCTCAGATTTTGTGTGAGGCATATTTGGTCAAATTTCAAACTGAAATTTCATGGTGCAACTTTCAAGGAATTGTTCTGGGCTGCTGCTAGGGCAAGCACTCTGGTAAGCTTCTATTTAGGTTCTTTTATGTCAGTTTTATGGTGAACTATAATGTATGCTAGGTGATTTTTTGTTTAGCTTGTATCAGTTTGGTTTTTGCCCAAATACTTGTGAATTTTGCCCATTTATCTACATTTAGTTTTGCACATATTTGCATGTCTTTCTATTTTGTGAAAACTGTATGCCATGTGTCTATGTTGTGTTGAATGGTTGTCAAGTGTGTGGTTGTATCAGTTTGAGTTTGAAGTTGCTATGGAAAGTATCAATTTTTTGGATGAAGAAGCATACCAGTGGCTGTCAAACATTGACCCCCAGCACTGGTCAAGGCATGCTTTCTCTACAAACTGCAAGTCTAACATGTTGTTAAACAACATGTGTGAGACATTTAATGCAGTGATTAGAGATGCCAGAGACAAGCCTATTCTAACTCAAATGGAATGGCTTAGAAGATATATGATGAAGAGGAGTAATGACAAATGGGAGGCAGCAAAGTCTTGGGAAGGTTTACTAACCCCATTTGTCAACAAAGTCTTTGATGGGTTGGAGAAGTATGCCAGGACATGTGAGGTTACAGCTTCAAGGGATGAAATTTATGAGGTGAAATACAAGGATGATCAGTGCATTGTGGATCTACAAGAGAGAAAATGCACTTGTTATAGATGGGAGTTGACAGGAATACCTTGTGTCCATGCATTTGCTTGCATAATGGACAAAAGGGATGATCCTGAGTTGTATGTGCACCCACATTACTATAGGGTGACATACTTGGCTGCATATGAGAACCCAATACAGCCAATGCCTGGCCCTAAGAATTGGGAAAAGGTCAAGCTCAGACAGCCTTTGCCACCTATGCTGAAAGTGCAGCCAGGAAGACCTAAGGCAAAAAAGAGAAAGCTTGAACCAGGGGAGGGCACTTCTGCAGCACCTGAGGGCAAGAAGCCAAAGGTGAAGAAACAATGCAAGAACTGTGGTGGGTTTGGCCACTTTGCCAAAACATGCAAGGCTGAAGCAGCACTAGAACAGCCTAACCCACCTGCAACAAATCCAAAGGGTGGGAGGCCACAGATGCAGACTCCTTGGCTTAAGGAACAGAGAAAGAAAAGTGAAGAGAAAGCAGCAAGACAGGTATTTTGTGTATTTTGTGACTTGAGTGTATTTAGTGGCTTTGTTTCTGAGTCTTGTCATACTGTGATTGCAGGCTGGGTCAAGTAATGCTGCACCTGCAACTGCTGTGTCAAGCCAGCCTGCAACAAGAACAGAGCCTTTGCCAACTCAGCCTGTTACCAGGAGCAACAGGAGCCTGAGTCAGCCCACAAGAGTGCCAACAACTACTCCTCCCAAAGTCAAAATACAGACAAGGTCCAAGCTTCATGTAGTGACAAGCAAGAAGGACAAGGATCTCAATCAACTGTGACCCTAGGTCTACTCATTAGTATTTTGTAATAGACAGCCAAGTTTATTAACTACACATGTGTATAGTAGGCAGTATATTTGGTAGTTGAACAATGATTTTGCACAAAGGTGCCTTAACTTTTGTCTCAGCCAATGTAAAACAATTAAAAACATTGTGTTGCAAGTAATAATACGAAATGTGATATGTTTCTACCAAAAAGTTCCATTTCTCATTGATTTAGTTAAAAGTAGTACAAGAAATGTCATCCCAACATCCACACATAATAATTCAACAAAACACAACATAAGTTGGGGATTTTTTTTGTTTCTAAGCATTCCTAAATGAACCTAAGATCTAAAATACATAGCCAGTACCAAACCAAAACAACAAAACACAACAATAGCATGTACTGTGAGCATTTTCTTTGTTGTTGCATTGCTGCCATGCACTTCCTTGATCATCTTCTTCCTGTCTGAGCTAAGAGCTTTGCATTTCATCTTTAAGCTGTCAATCTCATTGAGCAAGCACCTCCTTTGTCCACTAACATCATCAACTTCCCTCTTCATGTCATTCAGCTCTCCCTTCATTAGTTTCTTGTCCAGCAGCAAGTTGTTAATCACCTCTGTTTGCCAAGGTGTTCCATCTGGTTGATCCACCCACTCAAAAGCTTTACACCCCCTTGACTCAGTCACAGGATCATAGAATTTGCAAGTCCTAAACTTGCGTCCAGGGTTCTCCCTAGTCCAAGCAGTCAGCCTAGACATTGGAACTCCACATTGGCATTTTTTCTCCTTTGAGGGTGACATACTAACTGAAGACATTCCCTTCTGAAATTCAGTAAGAACAAGAATGAAATTAATTGTATTTGAACACAATCACCATAATATAACCCTAATTTCAGTAGCCAATTCACATAACAAAAACCCCCAATCTAATTTAATCTTACATGAACCCTAAGTATTTTAATTGAAATTGGGGTTTAATTGACCTCACAAAACGCCCAATTTCAATTACTCTTAGCAAATGCAACATAATCACGCAACGAATTGCCAAAAAATTACAACAGAAATCACGAAAATTGCTAGAGAATTAACGACAATGGCTTACCTTTTTGATGCTTGTTGTCGAGGAGTTCAATTTGATTATTTGATAATTAGAGGGTTTGGGATTGTTAAGGTTGCCCAAAAATACTAATTTGTGAAGAAAATCGCAAAAATTAATCTCCAATCTGCAAGAATTTGGTGTACAAATGAAGAGCTAGGTTTAAATAAAAGGGAAATCGAGAGAAATTTGGGAAAAAAAAAATCAAAAACTAGCCGTTATGCTGGGCCCCACAAGCGTTTTCCGTCACCTGAGCTCAGATGAGGTGGTAAAACTGATGTTTAATTTTTTTATGAAGTGGTAAAGTAAATGTTTTTTTTTTGGAGGTGGTAAATTCGACAAAGTCATTATTTGAAGGTGGTAAAAATGAAAATTTCCTTAAAATAACCACCCCGTAAAATTAAAAAATTTAGAAATCACCACCCTTTAACTAAAATTTCAATTTTTTTTAAAATAATAACATTGGTTTTCGTGTCAAAACTTGGCATACTAAAGTTTTGGGGGTCACTTTGGTCCTATGGGTTTAATTTGAGGTCAACATTTTTTTTAAAAAAAAGTAATGGAAATGCATCGTTTTGCATGTTGGTAATTAGGCTCAAATTGTGTGAAACTACCAAAATGAGACTTTTCCGATAATTTTTTGGGTGTTTTGACCTTGAACCAACCCCATAGGTCCAAAGCGACCTGCAAACCCTTAGTAGACCATTTTTTGACACGAAATCGATAATTTAAGGGGTGGTGATTTCTAAATTTTTAGACTAAAACGGGTACGAAGACTACGAACTCCGTACTCCGTATGGAGTAATTCGATTATGGATATAGGATATGTGTCACTTGACCCATGATAAAGTCAAAAAAGAAGACAATGATTACAACAACTAGCCACAAACTCAATATACTCGTTTTAAATATTTCTCACCAAATGTATTCTTCAAATGAAATTACAAGTAAACAAACAAATCAAACTACATCCCAAAAAAACAAAAACCAATCTCAAATTCCTAATCAAAACTTGTGAAATTAGCGCCAAACGCAAATTAAGCGGTATCACCGCTTCCTACAAAGCAGCAAATTATCATCAGTGTAAATAAATACACCATTAAAAATGACGACTACATTTCAGTTTCAATCAGATATGCGTTTCTCTCTCCAATTCTCCTCATTCTTCCGCCGCCTTTCGCCGCCGTTTACCGCCGATTATCGCCGCCGGTTATCACCGGCTACTGCCGGTAATCATCACCGTGTTTCGCTGCGGTTGAGTGTTAAAGCTTTCTCAAATGACGCCGTTGAGAAGGTTGTTGATAAACCCTCGATTTGTACTGCTGATGAGCTTCATTATGTTCATGTTGCTAATTCTGATTGGCGTCTTGCTCTTTGGCGTTATCATCCTAATCCTCAGGTTTTTAATTTTTGGATTAATTTTACCGTTTTTTTTTTTAAAAAAATTTTATTAGGGTTTGAATTGTGATTTTTGGGTGTTTGATTTTGATGAATGTGCAGGCTACGGCTAGGAATCATCCTCTTTTATTATTATCTGGTGTTGGGACCAATGCTATTGGCTATGATCTATCTCCCGACGTACTTGGATTTTCACTTATATTTTTTTTATTATTTTATTTATTTTTTTTATATTTTTTTTTGGGTGTTATTTTATGATTTGGTTTGTCAATGCCGTTGGAATTTTAGTGTTTAATTGATCAATGTTTTAGTTTGACGGAGTAATAGATGCAACTTATTATTGTTATTAGTTGTTGATAGGACTACGAAACATAACCATGATTGAGTTGTTGAGTTGTCCTGAATCCTGATTATTGGTAAGTTATCTGGAAATTATTGGGTACTCCGTGTATGAGTTGTCGGTGGTGATATTATTGTTAGTGAGTCGTGGGGTTTTACTTTTATACTTCGTATTATTTAGTGGGTAATTAGTTGTTTTTTCAATTAGCCTTTTAAGTTAGTGTTTAGCAGCTCCAAGTGAAGTGATAGAAATTGTAATTTTGAGCTGGTCAATGCCATTTATGGAAAGAGTGATGTGTGTCAAATACATAGGGATTGACTTAAATGGAAAATGTGTCCAAGTAAATAACGACAAAGTAAGAGATTCTATGAGTGATGAGCATGGATGTGTTAGAAATTATATAGAGAGATGAGCAGTGGCGGATCTTGGGCCAAAAAATTTAGGGGGCCCAGGTTTGATCCTCCAATCTTTTGCTCAAAAATAACAATACTTAACCACTATGCCATAACTTTTTAAATGTAATTATTAGACATTATATTACTTATAACCAACAATTTAGAAAAATTAAGGGAGGCCGGGCCCCGACCCGGCGTAACAAAGGTCCACCACTGGAGATGAGATAGGAGAAATAAGAAAATTCATGTATTCAATTCTATTAAACATTGTAGCATGACTACTAATTAGAATTAAGGTAATGTAAACTGATTTAGTGGGTAAACATTGATCCACTAAGCTACTACATTAACTCAACTAATGATAATATGCCTTCTTACTTTAACAAACTACCAATACACTACACACATGCTCTGTAGATCTTAGAACTATTTTGAATCAGAAACTGATTGAAGAAGAAAGTAGTAATATTGCATTTAAAATTTTTGTTATAATTTCAGAATTTTGCTTTCTTTTTCCCAATGTGATGAGCTAGATTTATTCTTCTTGCTTGGGTCATATCCCTGGTCAAAAAGGATTGTCTAGGATATTTACCTAGCCTCAAATTTAAACGAGGAAGTATTTGGGACTTAGTTTGAACTAAGCTTGTTATCTTAAACTTGGTGAAGTTATTTTACATTCATCGACGGGGCTGGATATTATATGAAATACCAAATAATTTTATATTCCTCATTTTGGCTAAATGTCTATAGTCTCGTTTCAGTTTTCCTTGAACATATATCATTTTGTTCTTAAGCTTCTGTCCCTGTTATCTCATTAATCTTCAGCGGTGCATTCTCATTGAAAACCAAAGATAGTGTACTTTATTTTTATTTTGCTTTTCTTCTAGTTTATTACAACCTTAAGTTAAAAGAGAGTCAGTGATTCTGTCTCTAGCTTGTAACCTACTACTTTCTGATTTAAATCATTTATGAAAGTTTAGCTTTCTGGCTGGTCTCCATATTCCTTGCCTTGTAGTCTCTAGATTAACACCATATGCATCAATTGGAAGTGAATTCTAAGAAGAATGTACTGTGAAGGTATTAATTTATCCCCTTCATATATGCATGGCGTGAAGTATCTAAGCTGGCCATATTAGAAAAGCTAAGATGCATTAAGATAGACTTAATTTCATTGTAATTCTGTGTTTACTTGGTTGTTATGCTTTATATAAGGACTTCTTCAGTCTACATAAGCTCTACACGTATAACTTTTGGTAGAAGTGGGGTATCCTAGTATCCTACTGTCATTATTAAACCTTAAAGCAATTTTTTTAAATATATATCCCAAAATTGTTGTTTTTCTCCCACAGTAACACCACAGCCATTTTCTGTCGAGTCTTGATAACATTTGCTGTGAATATCAAATATGGTCGGCCTTTATAAGCATTATGGCACTCCGATTTTGATAGGGTTTGGGTCAACATGATCCCAAGTCAAGAATTGGGGCATAGACATTTAGGTTAATGTATCCGTAGTCAAGAAATGCCTTAATGTGAACTGGGAGTGTCATAAAAAGAAGTAAAACATTGCTGCAAATATGGCTGGGATAGAATGGAATGGAAAGGTGGCCGTAGGGCAGTTGGGGGTACTTTTATTGTTTTTTTTTACCCTCTCTTAAGGGTGTTAAGGAGGACAAGATTCATTAGTTATTATTGTTCATTCATATTCAGTAATTCTGCTTTGATTTATAGAGTCTACTTTTTCTTGGGATCATGTTGTCAAATAAAGGCTTGTTGATTGGCAAGTAAATAAGATGAAATATGGTCTCTGGCAGTCTTAAAATTTTTTAGGCGGCTTTGTTTCTTTTTTTTTTTTTTTTTTAATTATTATTATTTTTGTGGCAGTCTTCATTTGCTCGCTACATGTCTGGACAAGGATTTGATACATGGATTCTGGAAGTTAGAGGGGCTGGATTGAGCATGCCTGCTACACACTCCAAAAATGTTGAACAATCAGCCCATGAAATTTCTAGTAAGATGGAGTCAGCAGCTGAAAAGGCAAAAGAAGCTGCGACTCAAACGAGGCAGTCTGCGGCTGTTGAGGATGGGGCACTAGCTGATGCAGACGTCCCTATTAATAATGGAGCTCCATTGACAGTTGCGACAATGTGGGATGAATCAGAACTTGTTACAAAATTAACAGAAACATTCATGCGTTTGTCTCAGAGGCTCTCTGGCTTTCTTAGTGAAGGTCAATCAAAAGTTATGTCTGCAAGACTATTTGATCAACTTCAGAAACTCTTGGAAGATTCTTATTTACTTGACCGCTTCAATGACATAAAGGAAAAGCTTTCGAGCTTGTTAGAAACTAGTGACAACTCTTCTGTAGCTAATCAAGTATCAGATCTAAGCCAAAGGCTAGTGAATATCTTTGAAGAAAGTCAACGCTCGGTCTCGCCTCCACTCTTTGATTTGCAGACCCGTTTCTTCACAACCATAGAGGAATTTCAGAAACAGCTTGATGTGATGGTGAAGTATGATTGGGATTTTGATCATTATTTGGAGGAGGATATTCCTGCTGTGGTGAGGTGACCTTTCTTCTTAAATGTTGGTTAAAAACAGATATTATATTTTTGATAGTTTTAACTTTTGATAATCCTACTTTCATCTGATTTCTGATGATCTTCAACTCTCCCTCACCCTTCATGCTATGACAATTATAAAAATCTTTTTAAATGTGAGCTAACATGATATATGTATGATCTCTCATTCTGCCAATTTTTTATGCTCTGTAATTAGCATCTTGCCCCTTCTAATATATACTCTCACACTTTGTGTCTTTGTGATGCAGATGGATTATATAATATCTCAAAGCAAACCCAAGGATGATAAATTGTTTGCCATTGGACACTCAATGGGTGGTATACTGTTGTATGGGATGCTGTCCAAATATGGTAAGTTATGACGTTTTGGTGTACATGTTTTGTGACTTTTGATCACTTGTTTTCACATCTTGAAGTCTTTTTTATTGCATGAAAGTGTCAAAGCTTGAGCTACTAAGTACCTTACCAAAATCTAAAGACAGGAATCAAGGGGGAACGAAGGGAGAGATCTATTGGCAAGACAAAGAAAAGAAAGTAAATTTATTAGAAATCATAACAGTAAGAACGAGATTGAGATATGGGATTACTTTTCATGTTTTTATCATGATTTTGCCAGATTGCATTTCTGAATTTAACCTGAGACAACACTTACAGAATTGTGAAATCTGTAAAACATTGATCAAGTATTTATTACTCAGTACTACAATAAAACGGAAAATCAAAACTTTGTGGCTTTAGCTCACCCAAACTTCAATTTTGTTTTTGGAAATCTCTAAAACTAAATCCATGAAGTTGGTTTTGACACCAAAATTTTGTTGTGTAATGGATCCCAAGAGCTTTTCTTGTAAATTTGACTCAAATTCTTCGTTCATAAAGATGGTGTTTCAGGGATTTGTTTTTGGTTTCAGTGGAAATACTAAGAGAGAAGAAATGGTCTCCTATAATGAGATAATGATAAGCACAGAGCACCAACACGATTTATTGGCCAAAAAGCAAGTAGACAGAAGGCCCTTGAAATACCTAAAATTAAGAATTAACCTCCATTAAAGCATGCTTAAATTCATAAGATTTTACCTCCATTTTCTAAACTGTGTCATGAGTAAACATTAAGTTGCATAAATGAGGAGTCTTGTGAAATTTTAAACAAAGTCATAAAAGCAAGAGCAGTCTCCTCTTATCAATCCTCAACATCAACCAAAGCTAATGAGTCTCTTGTATCTTTACACTTTTATAGAGTGGTTTTCTAATGATTCCTTAAGCTTAAGCAACCCTTGATTACATCTAGGCCTTTAAGCTTTAAAGAAAGGATATAGCTGTATGATTACTTGGAAAAATTCCTGTGCAAAAGCAGCCACTACAGTGAGGGATGGATGTTTTGTGCAACACATGGCTGTACTGGGTGCAGCACTTAATTTGCTGTACTGCAATAATTGCGGGGCTGCAGGAATGTACAACAGTGATTAATAAGCCTTGGTGGTCTATGCACTCTTCTGGCCTCAAAAGTACAGTTTTCCTTTGCTACTTTTACTTCCGGTTCTCTCACAACATTCGTGCTCCTAATCTTTAGCATTTATTGGTAATTCTTGACTGAAGACAAGTCCTAAGAGATCAAAGTGCAAGATAAAGTTAAATTTAACTCTTGAAGTTGCTCTTGACACCCCATGAATTCACCATGAGATTATAGTCTTGTTTTTGAGACTTCCAAATCCAAAGTTGGGGTTGGTCGTCAAATTCCCTGCACGTGTCTAATTAAAAATGTACTGGTGTAAAGGGTCTATTAGATCAGTTTGTAGCTGGGCACAATCCTTTAATGCCAAGTGCACATACATCTATGAGATCAGTTTGTAGCTGGGCACATCCTTTAAGGTGTTCATTAATAAGCTACAAACACATCCTTTAAGGACCAGTGCACATACATATGTGTTTAATAAGCTACAAACACATCCTTTAGCTTATTAATGTGTTTAACCTTATTGTGTATATTGTATTTTATTCTATACTTCAAGGTGTTCCTGCAATTTCTTCTCAAACATACACATCTCTGCTTGACCAATTTTCTTAATATGATCTCCCTAAAAGCTCATCATTCTAACCCTTAAACTAACACCAGCCTAATACTTATCTTTAAAATTTCCCTTTTCACATGAGAGGTATGTTATGACTACAAATTTCTGTAACAATCCCCGTCGTTACTGTTCTCCTTTTGAGCTAGCCTGACTTATTATTAAGAGCTGCATGTTGGTTACTAATTATCACTATTATTACTTTTGGTTAGTCACTATTTGGCTGTTGTTCAAATCAGGATATGAAGGTAGAGATCCTAGATTAGCAGCTGTTGTAACATTGGCGTCTTCACTTGACTACACAACTTCCAAATCAACACTTAAGATGCTCCTACCCCTTGTAAGTGGAATACTAGTCAATTCTGCTTTTTTATGGTCCTTTCCTTCTTTCACAAGTGATATAAAATAATTTATTTATTTGCATCTATTGTTTTTTCAGGCAAATCCTGCACAAGTCCTTAATGTCCCTGTTGTTCCACTAGGAGCCATGCTATCAGCTGCTTACCCTTTTACATCAAGTCCTCCATATGTCTTGTCTTGGCTAAATAATTTAATATCAGCGGAGGACATGATGGATCCAGAGTTGCTAAAGAAGCTTGTTTTGAACAATTTCTGTACGCACAAATACCTTTTATTCTTTTGAATGTTGGTTTGTATTTTCTTCTGCAGTCTGTGATGAGGAAGTATAGTACATGTGGCACTCACAACACAACATATAACAAGTACTTTTTTTCCTCTTTTGCTTGTATTAAGTGTGAATCAACTTTTTTGTATAGACTCTGAACTATATGGATTGCTATTCTGTTGATTAGGTGCACATATATTACTACTTTATTAGCTCAACTTTTATAGTTGTTTCTTGTTGAATTTTCCATCTGTTTTTCCCTATCCTTTTCGAAGTTAAAAACTGCTTTCTTATTGGAGATGTGGATTGACAACCATTTAATGCTATATATATTACTGTTTCTGTGTTTGTATCAAGTGTTAATAATCAACTTCTGTGTGTGCAATCTGAACTAGTTGGGTTGCTTCTATTATACTGTTGTTTTTGTTGGTGTTCCCATTTATGCTGTTTTCCAAGTTTATAAAAACTGCTATTTTTGCGTCTTGTACATTTGTCATTATGTTATAATTGATGTTCAAGCAGCTATACTTGCTAGTGTTCATCAGAATGTCTTTAACTGCAAGGTGAAATTTTGCTTGAATGTCAACTATGAACTCTTCACCATAAGTTTTTTCCTCAAGTATCTTCTTTTTAACTCAATGATAATACCTCCAGGTACTATATCAGCTAAACTTTTACTACAACTAACAACAGCTCTTCGAGAGGGTGGACTGCGTGACCGTAGTGGCACCTTCTTCTACAAGGAGCATTTGCCCAAAATTACTACCCCAGTATTGGCTTTCGCGGGAGATCATGATCTCATTTGCCCACCTGAAGCAGTTTATGGTATTCCCTACTTTTTTTATATTTCATTTCTTAGCATCTTAGTCCATGTTTAATGTTTGACTTTTAGCTTCCGAGACATCATGATGTTGATTTTGACTTTTTTTTTTTTCAAATTAAAAATCTTGTTAGTTTTGGTTTATAACATAATGTAGAGCAGTAGAGATGCTCCTGACATCCATAAGTGAAAATGTTATAAAAAGTGACCTCCAAAGTATTGTTCTGTCTTCGCACTTTCTCACTAATACTCCCTCACTAATTTATGTCAATGCTATGTTAATTACGAGGTGGTCAGTGCCAATTAAGAGGTAACATTAACATTGATTTGGTCTTGAGAAAACATACATACATACTGGTAATGAATGGAGGCTGGTGTTAATGGTGTCTTGGAGATACTGTTACTGTGTGATAGTTAAGCTAGCTTACTGTGTTATTTTAACTTATTATTAAGTAGCATACTTTGGGGCGGTTTTGGGCTGAACTTTCTTTTACTAATTTTGTTTAGATAAGTTACTTTGTATATTATTGATGATACTCAAACTCGAATACGTGGATCCTTGAAATTGGCTTTATTGTGAATTATATTTTGTTTTATTATTAAAATAAAAAAAGAAGTCTCCTTACAAGATTACAAATCAATACTCCCTCCGTCCAAAAATAACAGTCTTATTTACCCAAAAATAAAAAAGGAAAAATCTCCATTATTGTTTTCTCTTATTTTTCACCTTTAATCAACCAAACCCAGCATCCTTTTTACTTTTTTTATTTGTTTATTTTTTTCAATCAAACCCTACTTGTTTCTAGTTCTTTTTTTTAAGCATTCAAATTTCACTATCTTTCTTGTGATATTTACCTTTAATCAACTAGTCCACAATTTTTTTTACTATTCACATTGCCTATAATCAATCAAACCCCACTATACTCTTTATTCACCTTCCTAAAAACATGTGCAATAGGAAAATGTTGTTTGGGGACACAGGGACTTTGTTGCAACCCCTTTTAGGAAATTAAAAATCTATGCTCTCCGACCCCCTTGAGTTTCTTCTACTAGATTGCACTAACAAAGGAATATGTTTTTTTACCCAACAAAAACTCAAGAGGAAATAGTTTTAGCTTAGTGATTTTAAATTGATTGTCCAAAATCTAATTTTGACACTTTTATGGAACAGAAACTGTGAAGTTTATCCCTGAAAACATGGTTACTTATGAAGTTGTTGGACAACCTGGAGGTCCACATTATGCACACTATGATTTGGTTGGAGGAAGACTGGTTAGTATATTCTGACCTTTCTTTTGTAAATTATTTACTCAATATAGCCAAAAGTCATGCTTGATACAATTACCAGCATATTTTATATTCTTCTGCTTCAGTCTTTGTGGCTTGCTTTGAGTCTGTGAGTGTCCCCAACCTCCTCCCCCTTCCACATAAGTTTTTAAAACTTAATGCTTATTCTTGTTTTTGCAGGCTGTAGAAGAAATATATCCTCGTATAGTTGAGTTTCTGAGCTGTAATGACTAGAGATTTGGATTAAAAGGACAGGACCCTCTCTCAAAATGATTTTATTTCTTTTTGTGGCTAAAAAGAGCAAAGCAGTTGCATCTCATTTCACCAAATCAAGCTATTTTCACACCGGTGCTCAGTTAATTTATTATTTTGAAAATGGAACGCAGAGTAAAGTTGCCCAAGGCAAGCAGCCAAGCATCTCTCCTTTTTACTGAGGATGTCAAGAGTTGCTATCAGGCTGGGTTTGGTCTGATATCCAAGCTTTCGGTTCCCATACTTTTTGGCCAGAATTGTACATGTGTATAAGGTTTTCAGAGTCTTGACTCTTAAGTTTATAGTTCGTATATAGAATCGAAGATGCTGGTAAAATGTGTTTTGCTGCAGGTTTGTATTATTTTCTTTACAAGTTGTATAGACTTTGTTGTAAAATGTCCCTGTCGTTTTCATTACGTCAAGTGATGGATTTTGGGTGTCATTCTTTTTCAGTATCAAACCAAAAATTAACGAAAGCAAAGAGCCAAAACTGAAAAGGAAATCTTAGATCTATATATTTTGGAGTTAATGTTTATATGGTCTCCTTTTTTATTTGCATAAGATGAGACTTACTGTTTGTGAAATAGATGTGTGTTATCCTGTCTTTATTTTGGGATACAGATGGTGTGTGATTTTGTTTGTTGAGGGGGAGGAGGGAACTCCATTACTTGGTGATAAATTATTTTTGATTTTTTTGAAGAAATTAGCTTTAAATAAATAAACTAGATTTTTAGGTTATATCAGTAATTAAATATAACTTAATAAGCTGAATGATAAATAAGTTGTTAAGACTTAACTGAAATGTACGCAATCTGATTAAAGCATGTTTTTATCGTGAATTAAACTTGTGGGAACTTTATTGTAAAGTAGTGAAATTTGTTTTAACTTATCTAAATTTATACGAAGTATATAATAAACATACAAGTACATTGAACAGAATATACCTTTAATTGTTTTTTGGTCCAAGTAGCACTTGGGAAATTCATTTAGTATGATTATATGAAGGTTAATTGGGTGATGAATGAATAAAGAGAATTCATTTCATATATCAGTTGTGATTTTTCTCCAATTATATGCTTAAATGAACTATTGGTGCTACAATCTGTATTTATTTTGTTGATGCTGAAGAGAAATTACAATGGCATTGCACTTGAACATATTATTGATCAAGAGTATTTTAAAAAAACATATTATAAGAAATCAGAGTTTTTTTTTTTTTTTTTTTTTTTTTTTGTTTTTTTTTTTTTTTTTTTTTTTTTTGTTTTTGTTTTTTTTTTTTTTTTTTAAATACCTCATATCGTTTTATCATTGCGCCCCCTTGATGATTTGTAATTGTAATGTTGTAAGACACTAATAGCCTAACACGATCAAATCAGTCAGTTTAGTTTAAGGTTTTCCCTCATATCGAGAAAGAGGTTACCGTGTTAATCACCATGTCTAACTTGTTATACCTTGAGTATTTATATTTTTTGGGTGTAGAGAGAGCTCCTAATAAAGGGCAATGATGTAGACGGGATTTAATTTCTGATGTTAGAGTAGGCAACTACCTAAATTGTTATACTTTGCTTTGCTTATGACATTGAAATTACTTCGTATTATGCTGGGCTCCATGCCTCCATCCCTAATAATATGGTTTACAACAATAAACATGTAACAAAATCCAACCCTTTTAAAATCCATTCAACATAGGTACAACTACAAAGTGGTCAACTTTAGCACCAACAAAAAATGTCTCCCTTCAGTTAAACAAATTAAATTCAGAAAGCATCAGAATATTATGGGCATATAGATAGATTTAGTAAATTACAATAAATCAAGTAATTTCCCTTACAAATAATGCAAGTCATGCAGCAACAGCAGAAAACCAACAACAGTGTTATCTCAGAGTTTGTTTTGTCATCTTTAGAAATTTACCTTCAGAAAGATAAATTTTTTGTACCAATTTTAGGCTGCAAAATCTAACCATTTCTGTCAAGATTCATTTCTTCCCATCCCTTGTTTTTTTTCCTTAGTTATTTTTTATGGTGTTCTGCTTTTCTTCAGAAGATAGATGATCACAAAATGGGTAACATTTCCAATGTGGGAACAAAATTTTTATATCGTCTTGGTAGGCTCCCACATTAAGTTAGTACTCGTATCGTATTCTTCGTTGCATGTTATGTTTTCGTATATAACGTGTTCAGTATCTGTCTAGTATTACTCATAAAATTCATCGAAACATCAGTAGCTTGATCTAAGACTCGAGTGCAGGTAAAATAGTGTTAAATGGAATCGAACATGGCTGGTTTTCTTTTGAACGCATCAACTCTTGATCTTGGGCTTAGCTTGAATACTCTTCATACCCAAGCTTGTCATCATGCTGATCAGAGTATGTGTTCTCACACACTTTGTTTTCAATTATGTTTATTTTTGTTATATCATATGGTCGGTCCAAATCTAGCATGTCATCCAATTTGGCTACTAGATAACTGTTCCAAGATTTAAAAATAAATTTTAATTAGCCAGTGAAGTTGTTTGGAATAGATCCTTTCTTAGGACAAAAGTACTCCTTCCGTATATCTTATTATTCCCATTTACACGATACAAGGTGAGTTTCCCACCAACTACATTTGCTTGAGAGTAGGGGGATTTCCCTTACCTCTTCTCTCTATTCTCAAGCGTTGACCTGAAGAGAAAAAAAGTGAAAAAAACTAATCATCAAAGCGAGCCTAATGCTTTATCTAAAACTGATGCAGGTAACCAAAGATTGCAAATGGATTCGACAATAGTCCCAGGGGGTTACAATAATGATCCGATGCAGTGGTCATACCCAAGTCACTTGGTACGCCTCAAAAGTCCTAATTGCTCAGAATCAAACCCTGATAATTCTACTGAAGACCTGGAGGGAGTCCAGAGCAAAGAACGATGGACTTATGTTAAGGTCAATATGGATGGGGTTATCGTAGGCAGGAAAATCTGCCTCGTCAATCATGCTGGCTATGCTGACCTTGCTCTTCAACTAGAGAACATGTTTGGTAAACTCACAAATGCATTACTTCACTAGAATAGGAGATAATCATGCACAGTTTTCTTATCAGTATGGCCTTAATTTTGAGTTCAGGCGGGTTAACAGCATATGGCTTACGCTTGTTTCAACGTGGATCGGAGTTTATGCTCTTCTACAAGGACAGAGAGGAGAAGTGGAGGTCTGCTGGTGATGTTCCATGGAAGTATGTTTCCTTCATTAGCTAATAGTCATGTTTTTTTCCAAAAATTAACATGAATTTAGTCATTCAGTGTAACAGATTTAGTGTTTTCTGACCCTCATTTCACTATACATTGTGGTTGCAGAGAATTTGTAGATTGTGCAAAAAGGTTAAGGATATTGCAAAAGAACAAAGTGCTACTCTCTTAAGTCCAAACAATGCCTGCTCTATAACATAAACGTACGAAACTCGTTTGAGCCTGCTATCAGGACTTAGATATGAGTTAGGATTTAGATTCACTAGCTTTCAAATTGTAATGAACTCAAGTAAAATAGCTTACTCCATTAATCTATCTAGCTTTTGATCAAGATTACTTAATCCCACTATTAATCCTTAGTAATGTCATCATTAAATCTTCTTAATTAAGATAATGTTGACTATGGTGTGTGGGAAATGAGGCGTGTGAATAGTTTGTTCACAGCAAATGCTTGATTCTAATGTGACTTATAATCCTTTGTAACGTCATAATTAGTTAAATTTTCTTGCGACGCTGTAGACACCCAAATGTATCTCCCCAAAACCAAACCAAGTGATGAGTACCTTTCACGTCGAATTATAATCGAATGAAGCGAAAGTGTGGAAAGTTTAGTGTTGCGGAAAGTTTTAATTTTCTTTTCTCTTCTCTCTGTTTTTGAAAACTTATTTTAAGAAAACAGCCAATCCAGTTTGGTTGGTCCAAGATATGGGTCCAATGGTAGTGTAGTTGTATGGGGCTTGACAAGAGCTTTCCAACGATATATTATAAGCCCAATTCCGATGAATATTGAGGAAGTTATGGCCAATTTACTAAACTGGACCCGGTTTGAGCTTTATGTGCGGCCCGATGATATAGGGGAGGGTCTAATATGATTTATCATTCCCAATGCAATTAGGAATGGTTTTAGGCTTCTAGATTCTTCTAGAAGGTTCTTTTCATTCCTAATTCAATTAGCATTGATAAATTGACTTTTATTGACTTTTCAGAGTTTTAATTAAAATCAAAAAGCATTTTCGAGGAAAAGATACGATTTTATCCTCCAGCACGACAAACTTATCTGATTTTCGAAAACGCGTCAAAAACAGGCCTGGCGCCTGACTCCGGGCATTGGCGCCTAGTGCTAGCCATTGGCGCCTGGCGCCAATAAGCTGGTGCTGGCGCCAGCTCTGTTTTGCGTGCGCCAATCTCGTTTTACGTGCGCCAAGTGCTCTGTTTTGATATTTTATCTGTTTTGGCTGATTTCTCTATAAATAACGTATTAAAAACTCCGTTTTCATTCACCAATTCACCTACAATCAGTTTTCTTCGCAATCATTAATTCTCTAATTCATCTCTTTCTTTTCTAAACCTTGTCTTTCACATACAAAATTCCGCATTCGCAAGATCTAGAAACACCTAGCCATATTCGAAGTTGCCTTCGCCCTAGACGTGAAAGGTTTAATTTCTGAGGGTTTGGTCTCAAATCTCTATTTAAATTATTTTATTTAATTGTTTGTTGATTATTATTTTCCTTGAAGTTACTAACGTGTGTATTTTTTTATTAGAAAGAGGTACGAGGCATCAAAGTAAGTACTTTAATTGATATTATGATGTAGAAATCATGTTTATATTGTTATTATTCCTAGTATCATCTCTAGGGTAATTTTAATATCAAATATGCTTATTATAATTCCTGCGATGCTTCCTATGTTCTTCCTAATATTTATGATTGTTAGTATCATGTTAGGGTTAAAGATTTGATTTTTATTGTTTAGTGACATGCTAGGGTTTGTTATTAATCTTGTTAGTATCATGCCTAGGATCTTGCTATTATTATGCTTTAATCTTGATATGATTATTTTAATTATGATTTATGGTTGTGATTTTATGATTATAATCGTTATAATTTATGATGATTATGAATATTATTATTCCTTATTATTTTGATGATGATTATTTTATTATGATTATTATTATGTTGCTTGATATTTATTTATTGCTTGATCACACCTTTTATGCATGTTTAAAGGGAATTTGTACTTGTAATCACGCTTTATTAGATAGTTAATAATCTTGTTAGGGTTAATTTTATTATAATTCAAGTGATCGCCAATAATAGATTTATTTGTGCATTATATTCAACCAACATAGATAAAGAGGTTTAGAGTTAATCCTATTGATTGCATGTTAATTAAAAAACGCACGTGAATACGATCAGAATAAAGTAGAGGCCTATTATTAGGGCAGGTTCAATCTCTTTTAGGTTGGATTTGTACTTTCATCCCCGAACCCTTATTTGGTTCTAGACCTTATGGAATTGACGATCTCTTGGATCGTTAAGGGGTGTAACCTTCACCTCGTGAACGGTTTACAAGTTCCTAAAACTTGTTGGCGACTCTTTTGCTCTATCTTCTTCCCTTTTGGACGCCACCGTACTTTAGTGTATGATCACAATGGGGTTCAAGCAAGGGGTTTAACGCTTGAAATTTATTCCCTATAGACGCCCTTTTATAATTTTTGGGTTATCAAAATCATAACAATGATTGTATTAAGTATGGCACAAATTATATTGGTCCAATGTCTTAATGGAGTGGATGTGTATGCATCCCTACCTTAAAAAGAAATTTGACTCTTATTAACAGTGTTTGGATAATTATATCCTCTAAAAAAGTTATGTATTCATTTTTCGTCATTAATCTTATGAAATGTGTTTAGAAAATTGTCATCTAAAAGGTTATTTAATTATTTAATTTGCCCTCATTAATGTAAATTGTCTCTCTTTTTTTAACTGTTAAAAGAAGTGTGTAGCCATTTATACCCCTACAAATATTTATTTATATAATTTCTCTCACTAATGCGGCCAACAACTTGTGACATAAGGTCAAATCGATAGAGGTGGATATGACTAGCTATGACACACATAGGGGTGCTTATGAGACGAGACAACTCGCGAGCTACTCAAATTCGACTCGGTCAAACCTTGCTTAAGTGAGCTTGACTCGAGCAAACTCGAGATTGACTAAAAATGTTAATGAGTCGAAAACTCGTGAGAAGCTCAAATTCCTTTACATAATATTATATTTACTAAAAATTAAATCTTTTTGATAAAAAAAACTTTTTTACATTAATAATTAATAAATAAAACATTATTTATGTACTCGTATTGTCATATGTAAATTTCTTAAATGAGAAATTAAAGAAAATTGAAGAGATGTTACATTAAATAGAGAGTTTTAATAAGACGGATCAAATTGTAAACTACTCGAGATCGACTCGGTAAAATTTCGACTCGGTCATATTTAGTCAAAGCTCGACTTGATCAAAGCTTGGTTAAAATTCGACTCGATTAACCTCGACTCAATATGTTAACGAGTCAAGTCGAGCTACCCCAAACTCGAACTCGACTTATATCATAAGTACCTCACACCACATCGCGCACGTTAACTGCGTTAGTGTAATAGAAGATTTTGGATAAATCAAGAAAAATTTGTTATATAAGAGCGGCTAAAAATGTGAAAGTATCGAAAATTTTGCGACTCTTGATTGGTTTTCTGATCCGATGAAGATCACATATGATTGTGATCAATCCCACAACAAAATTTGTAAAATGAAAAGACTTATTTGGGCAATGGCAAATCTAGCATTTTTTTATAAGTAGGTTCAAATAAAATAAACAAATTATATATAAATCATTCATAAATTAACAAATTACATGAATATATATAAAAGTATTTAATTAAGTTCTAAATTTTTTTATTTATTATTTAATTGTTTTTATCTATTAGGTTTTCTTTCCATCTGTTTTCCCGGATCCCTATTATTTATTGTGTGTCAACTTTTTGGAAAAAAACACTTGATGTGATTGATAATAGATTTTTTCAACAAAATATTTCTTTTGAAAATAAATATGGAGATGACTTTACAAAGATGGTAAGTCATTAAAGTTTAACTTTTCTAAATAACTATATGTTTACGTTCTACACTACATATTCAAATAAATAAGTTACATGCGTATTTTCTGAAAATGTATAGTTTAAATTATATGCTTATAAATTATTATTTTTTTAGTTGAAAGCATTTAGTGAATCCTAATAATGACATTGTGTCCTCTTATGAAACTAGAAACTTGGAGATGAAATGGAAGAGTCATGCGAACAAGCATGATTGTAAAGTATATCTATTAAATCACATAGAAACATTTGAAGGATAATACGGAAAACCATGGAATTCGGGACTAAAGAAGGACAATGTAAGTGTAGCACAAGATATATATGATTAGTTTTTTTTTTTTTGTGGTTTTATTTGGTTGAAAAGGTTTCGGGTTTGACTTGATTAATTATTTTTTATCATTCTCTACAGAGATTATATGTTCTAAATATTTTAAATATGTTTTAAAGTAATTTTGATTAAATGGGGTATTAAAAGGAGAGAATGAAGAAATAAAAAAGGAAAAAAAATATATAGAAAAGAAAATAAGAAAGGTTGAAGAAAGAATGGAAGAAGAGGAAATCAAGGGAAATTCTACACGGTGGCCTCTTGGTTCTGATTTTTCAGTGTGAAGACAAACTTTTTTCCAACTCTCTTAAGTGGTACCCAAGTTTTAAAAAATTAAGTATAGTGCTCTTTTTAGGTTTTATGGATAACTTTTTAGTTTTTTGGTTAACCTTAATTAATTACAAAAAAATAATTTATCACGCCAACCACCCATGGCAACCGGAACATACCGAACGCCACTACCTCCGACGCCGGCGCGCACATATTTTCCCCCTCCCCCGGCGCCGGTGCACACATACCTTCTCCTCCTCCCCCGATGCCACCTCGACCTTCCTCTCTTCCACCTCCCTAACCACCATAACCCCTACCCATTCCAATCGAAAACTCCTAAAAATCATCTGAAAAGTCTGGTCGTTCCTCCCCACACCCCCGAAACCCTAGCGCCGGCCTTTTCGAGGTGTAAGGGAAGGCTAGGGGTTGCTTGACTTTACTGGCGGGGTATTTGGATTTTTAAGGGTAGGGGGTAGGTTATGGGATTAGCCGATTGGGTATGGGTCGGTTTATTAGAGCTACGGTCGTTGGTGAAAGGGAAGGAAGGGAGGTTAGAAGATCAGGGAAGGCGCCGACATCGGGGAAGGGGATCCGGGAGTTCTGGCGTCGGCGACGGGCGGCAGTGGAGTTCAACAGGTGGCTGAATGG